GTGAGCCACCACACCTGGCCCTCCATATATGGTTTTAATCAGTACAATTTTTATATTACATAAAGTTTTATTAAGATTATCACTGATGGACCAGGTGCACTGGCTCATGCTTGTAATACCAACACTTTGGGAGGCTGAGCTGGGCAGATTGCTTGAGCCTAGGAGTTCGAGACCAGCTTGACCTACATGACCAAACCCCATTCTCTACAAAATACAAAAAAAATTAGCCAGGTGTGGTGACACACATCTGTAGTCCCAGCTACTTGGAGGCTGAGATGGGAGGATCGTTTGAGCCTGGGGAATTAACGGCCTGGGTGACAGACCAAGATCTTGCCTAAAATAAAAAGAATGCTAGTAATGTATAGTTGATACTACTTGAACTTTTACAGTGTATTTTATTCTACATTAATCAAGACAAGCCAATAAATATTAGAATATTTTGATTCTGTCAGAATAATCATTGGGCAAGATATTTTCTACCTAGGCCATTTCTACTGCTCATAGATTCCTAAGAATGCAAGGCACATATTTTAAATTCCCCATCGAACATTCATACGCCTGGATGACTTCAAATGTCTTCAGATGTCCCCTTCCGTCTTTCATAATTCTCCTGTTCTCATGGGCCTAGATCTTGTCTTTTTTTTTTTGAGATGGAGTCTTGCTCTGTCGCCCAGGCTGGAGTACAGTGGCACCATCTCGGCTCACTGCAATGTCTGCCTCCCAGATTCAAGTGATTCACCAACATGGTGGAACCCCATCTCTACCAAAAATACAAAAAAATTAGTCAGGCGTGGTGGTGCATGCCTGTAGTCCCAGCTACTTGGGAGGCCGGGGCAGGGGAATTGCTTGAACCTGGGAGGGGGAAGTTGCAGTAAGCAGAGATTGCACCACTGCATTCCAGCCTCATTGACAGGGCAAGACTCCAACTCAAAAAAAGGAAAAGAAAAATAAAAACAAAGTTATTAGAACTAAATGAATATATATCACTATATTGATATTGATATATATTTTAGATATGTAGTGACTCTATAACCATATAAGAAAATTCCTTATTTATTTTGGAGACAAGGTCTTGCTGGGTTGCCCAGGCTAATCTTGAAATCTTGGGTTCAAGTGATCCTCCTACCTAAGCCTCCTGAGTAGCTGGGATTACAGGCGTACAAAGCCTGCCTGGATTTAGGAACAGACTCTTAATGAGGAAACTAGTGACTAACATGGATTTCTGCTAAGAGGAGGGCAGCATGAGGCTGTTGCTCACGCCGGTAACCCCAGCACTTTGTGAGGCCATGCATCACCTGAGGTCAGGAATTTGACACCAGCCTGGCCAGCATGATAAAACATCCTCTCTACCACAAAACAAAAATTAGCTGGGGAGGCGGATCCCTGTAATCCCAGCTACTCGGGAAACTGAGGCAGGAGAATCTCTATAACCTGAGAGGTGGAGGTTACAGTGAGCCGAGATTGCCTCACTGCACTCCAGCCTGGGCAACAGAGCGAGACTCCATCTCAAAAATAAAAATAAAAGGGAGGGACATGAAAAATAATGCAGTTTGTACTTAAGGAGTACACTCTGATTTATTCAGCACCTGTTAAGTATTTAGTATTGTAGCTATCTGTAGAATTCTAAAATGTTCATGTTTAGATTTTGAAAAAGAGAGAGGAAAGTAACTCATGGTAGTCCAGAATTCTTTTTTTTTTTTTTTTCATTACTTCCAGTAATGGCTATAAGCAAAGTTCAGAATTCTTAATGGTATAGTCACCATATGTTACTGTTCTACTTTTTAATTGAAACAGTAACCATAGAGTTTCAGAGAATTTGAAGATAATTTTGTAAATCATCACACAGCACTTTGGATGGATCACTTAAGGCCAGGAGTTCAAGACCAGCCTGACCGACATGGTGAAACCCTGTTTCTACTAAAATGCAAAAATCAGTCAGGTGTGGTGGTACTCACCTGAAATCCCAGCTGTTCAGGAGGCTGAGGCATGAGACTTGCTTGAACCTTGGAGGCAGAAGTTGCAGAGAGCCCGGTTCACACCACTGCACTTCAGCCTGGGCAACAGAGCGAGACTCTGTCTCAAACAAACAAAACCATATTACCACTGTAATAACTTTTATTATTGTATGCTACCTTGCTTCATTTTAAGGAGTAGCTGTGAAACAGGTTTTAATTATTGCTACTTTTAAAATTAGATTTCACTTAATCTCTGTTTGGCATACTGATTTCCTTTCCAATTTGGGTTGCAGCTCATGGATTTTACCCATTTGTATGTCAGTCCACTACACTGTCAGTAAGATTAGGAAAAATTGCAGTCAACCATTACAGTAGTTGTAGTCGGACAGTTGCCACATTTCAAACAGTGATATTTCATTTCTGTCTCGTGAAAAAATAATTTTTTTTTTTTTTTGAGACAGGGTCTCACCCTGTTGCCCAGGCTGGAGTGTAGTGGTGTGATCTTGGCTCACTGCAAACTCTGCTTCCCAGGTTCAAGTGATTCTTCTGCCTCAGCTTCCCAAGTAGCTGGGATTACAGGCACCTGCCACCACACCTGGCTAGGTTTTATTTTATTTTAGTAGAGATGGTTATCCCCATGTTGGACAGTCTGGTCTCAAACTCCTGATCTCCGGTGATCCCCCCACCCTATGCTGGCCTCCCAAAGTGCTGGGATTACAGGCATAAGCCACCATGCCTGGCTTAATTCAGTATATTTTAATGCTAATTTCTCATAAGGCAATTGGCTTTAATCCTCCTGTGAAATTACTGAAGTAAACAAAACCTCAATGTAAAAATTAAATATTGTTTCTAAAAATAAGCAGGCCATGTTAGGTGCAGTAGCTTATGCCTATAATCCCAGCACTTTGGGAGGGATCGAGCAGGCCGAGGCAGGCGCATCACTTGAGGTCAGGAGTTGGAGACCAGCCTGGACAACATGGTTAAACATGAGTCTGAGGCAGAAGAAGCGCCCGGACCCAGGAGGCAGAGGTTGCAATGAGCCAAGATCAAGCCACTGCACTCCAGCCTGGCTGACAGAGTGAGACTCCATCTCAAAAAACAAAAATAAAAAATAAAATAAAAATAAGCAGGCCAGGTGTGGTGACTCATGCCTATAATCCTGGCACTTTAGGAAGCTGAGGCAGAAGGATCACTTAAGCCCAGGAGTTTGAGACTAGCTTGAGCAACTTAGTGAGACCCCATCTGTCAAGAAAAATTTTAAATGTCACCCTGTTAGGAAAAAAATTAATAAAAATAAAATTGGTTTTTCATCTGTGATTCAGTTCTTTCATCATTTATTATGAAAGGTTTCTTTAGTGAAAGTAATAGCAGTGCAGAACTTTCATGTAATAGGCTTAACATTACACTGATTTAGGTGTGAATGAAATCCCTTAACCTCTTGATTGGAAGTTTTTTTGAGACAGTCTTGCTCTGCCTCCCAGGCTGGAGTGCAGTGGTGTGATCTCTGCTCACTGCAACCTCCGCCTCCTGGGTTCAAGTGATTCTCCTGCCTAAGCCTCCTGAGTAGCTGGGATTACAGGTGCATGCCACCACACCTAGCTAATATTTTGTACTTTTAGTAGAGTTGGGGTTTCACCATGTTGGCCAGGCTGGTTTCATACTCCTGGCCTCAAGTGATCCATCCAACCTAGCCTCCCAAAATGCTGGGATTACAGGCCTGAGCCACCTCATCTGGCCTGATTGGAAATATTTGCTAACATGGCTTTCCTGAGAGGGAGGGCTGCCACTCTAAAACCACCACTTATGCATAATATGATACCCACATAACTCCCAGCACACTTAATAATCATGTTAGTCATAAGAAAAGATTTCTTGACAGGTGAAAAATAAATATACTAATTTGTCCTCAAGTGGTCCACCTGCCTCAGCCTCCTAGAGTCCTGGGATTACAGGTGTGAGCCACCACCATGCCCTGCCAGCACCTAAGTTCTTTTTATCTGCTTAGCTGTTTTATCGAATGAAAGGAATTGCAGAGAGCAATGGATCGGAGTTCTTATGTGAATCTTTCTTCCGCAGGTAGTTACAGTTGCTCTCCGATGTCCCAGTGGGAGTGTCCTGAGGAGAAGGTTTTTGAAGTCCTGCAGCTCACAGGTAAGTAAGGGAATCCGCATTTTGAGAAATAGCTTTGTTAACTTTGGCAATAGTTTATTCACATGCCATGGGGAAGGTGTTATCACACTGTCATCTGCACCTCCCGTCAGCTGTGGATAAAGGACATTTCCAGGCACTCCACATTGCGGAAATGTGGCTAGCTAGGCGGGCATGCCGGGTGTCTCTGTATTGTAATCTCTGCATTCACATTCTACTCAACTTTTCCCTTTGGCTTATTTTTCCTTTCTTGTTTGTTTTCATTACATTTTCATAATTTGATGGGTAAGATGCTTTTATTTATTATTATTTTTTGAGACAGTGTCACTTTGTTGCCAGGCTGGAATGCAGTGGCATGATCTCGGCTCACTGCAACCACAGCCTCCCAAGTAGCTGGGACCACAGGCACGCACCATTACAGCCAGCTAATTTGTTGTATTTTTTAGTAGAGACTGGGTTTCACCATGTTAACCAGGATGGTCTTGATCTTTTGACCTTGTGATCTGCCTGCCCTGGCCTCTCAAAGTGCTGGGATTACAGGGGTGAGCCACTGTACTCAGCTGGTAAGATGCTTTTAAAGCCTTAGGAAGTAGCCACTAAAAAACTTTAGACTTTTTTTTTTTTTTTAAACAATACTGTGAACTGGGTGCAGTGGCTCAGGTCTGTAATCCCAACACTTTACGAGGTCAAGGCAGGTGCATCACTTGAGGTAAAGAATTTGAGACCAGCCTGGCCAACATAGTGAAACCCCGTCTCTACTACAAATACAAAAATTAGCCAGGCATGGTGCTGGATGCCTGTAATCCTAGCAACTCAGGAGCCTAAGGCAGGAGAATCACTTGAACCTGGGAGGCGGAGGTTACAATGAGCTGAGATCGTGCTACCACACTTCAGCCTGGGTGACAGAGCAAGATCATGTCTCAAAAATAGTAAATAACAACAAAACTGTGGTTGTTAGTGATAATTGGGAACACATGGAAAAGCAGAGAAAAAAATTGACCTGTAATCGCATGCCAAAACCAGGTACTAACATTTCGGTATATTTCCATCTCTAAGTACATTTAAACATATAATTACATATGCATTAAAAATGTGCCAGGCACGGTGGCTCACACCTGTAATCCCATCACTTTGGGAGGCTGAGATGGGTGGATCACAAGGTCATGAGATCGAGACCATCCTGGCTAACATGGTGAAACCCCATCTCTACTAAAAATACAAAAATCAGCTGGGCATGGTGACAGACACATGTAGTCCTAGCTACTTGGGAGGCTGAAGGAGGAGAATCACTTGAACCCAGGAGGCGGAGGTTGCAGTGAGCCAAGATCGCGCCACTGCACTCTAGCCTGGGCAACAAGAACAAAACTCCATCTCAAAAAAAAATGTCTCAGTGATTGCTAGGGAAAGAAAGGAAAAAAGAATATTCCGCTGGGTGCAGTGGCTCATGCCTGTAATCCCAACACTCTGGGAGGCTGAGGTGGGCAGACCACCCGAGGTCAGGAGTTCAAGACCAGCCTGACCAACCTGGAGAAATCCCATCTCTACTAAAAATACAAAATTAGCTGAGTGTGGTGGTGCACGCCTGTAATCCCAGCTACTTGAGAGGCTAAGGCAGGAGAATCTCTTGAACCTGGAAGGCAGAGGTTACGGTGAGCTGAGATCACGCCATCGCACTCCAGCCTGGGCAATAAGAGCAAAACTCTGTTTCAAAAAAAAAAAAAAAAAAAATTCCTATCTCAAAACTCATGGCAAGCTATTTTCCTTTAAATTCTACAAAGTTTATTTGAAAGGTATGAAAGCTCTGTCTCATTACTCCTAGGCATATGATGTTACATTGACAAAATTGTAAAATGTTACAGAGGTGTAAAGGGACACAGTTTGTCAAGTATTTGATAATGACTAAGCTAAGCTTTTTATCTTCTAGGTCTTATTTGACTGGATGATGAGAATTGGGTACCACACATCTCTATACAGCCTTTCTACTTCCTTTCCCAGACGGCCTTTGGCAGTGGAGGGAGGCCAGTCGCTGGAGGACATTGGAATAACTGTGGACACTGTACTCATCCTGGAAGAGAAGGAGCAGAGCAACTAGGGAAGAAGAGCGAGCTCCCTGTTCTGCATGAACTCAGCTGTGCCATGACCTTCTGACACAATAAAGGCTTCACGTTGAAAATCACACTATACCTCGATTGAGCTCATGGCAGTAAACACTTGAATGCTGCTATCTGTGGGAATAGGATTGGAAAATGATTGCTTTCTGCATATAATAATGTGTGGACTGTGCCATTTTATAATGTCCCAAATGAGAATGAGGTAAAAATATATACAGTTAGGTACTCAGTAATTAATATTTTCCCAGCTGACATTTCTCAGTGTGTTAGAAAACAAAGCTGTAGAACTTTGCTTTTCTGCCTCTTCAATCCATCTTTCCACCCAATGAATATTTCATGATTTAGTCAAATCCTTCAGAGTCTTAGAAGGAATGTTTATTCTGCTGTATTTCTGTGAAATTACAAACTTGAAAGAAGTTTCAAAGCTCTTGAAGGCTTTAAAATTCTTTCTGATGGGTATGCATTGCAGTTGATTAACTCATGTTTGCAACTTATATAATTTTTTTCTTGTATTAATTGTAACATTTACAAAGTTCCAAATGAATCAGTATTTTTAAAAATAAAACTATGAAAGCATTAAAACATAGGCGAATTTTAAAAAATCTATCTGATCACTTCCCTCTCCTGCTTATAAATCTGTAATGACAAAGTCATGCACTATAACACAAATTCACAAGTGTGGTTATAAAAGGCTCTTAACTTTTTTCTACTCCTTTCTTTTTCCGTGCTGTTTTAAAAGTCTGCTTACTGGCTGGGTGCGGTGGCTCACGCCTGTAATCCTAGCACTTTGGGAGGCCAAGGCAGGTGGATCACCTGAGGTCTGGAGTTGGAGACCATCCTGATCAACATGGACAGACCCCGTCTCTACTAAAAATACAAAAAATTAGCTGGGCGTGGTGGCGCATGCCTGTAATCACAGCTACCTGAGAGGCTAAGGCAGGAAAATCACTTGAACCTGGGAGGCAGAGGTTGCGGTGATCTGAGATTGCATCATTGCACTCCAGCCTGGGCAACAAAAGCAAAACTGTCACAAAAAAGTAAATAAAAGTCTCCTCAGGCCAGGCATGGTGGCTCACACCGGTAATCCCACCACTTTGGGAGGCCCAGGTGGGTGGATCACAAAGTTAAGAGATGGAGACCAGCCTGGCCAACATGGTGAAACCCTGTCTGTACTGAAAATACAAAAATCAGCCAGATGTGGTGGTGCACACCTGTAGTTCCAGCTACTCGGGAAGCTGAGGCAGGACAATTGCTTCAACCCAGGAGGCGGAGGTTGCAGTGAGCCAAGATTGCACCACTGCACTCTAATCTGGCAACAGAGGGAGACTCTCTCAAAAAAAAAAAAAAAAAAGTCTGCTTATCTGGCTCTCTGGGCATTCCCTTTATACCTCTCCTGTAGAATTTATTACGCTGTGTTATAGGTGTTTTTTCTTAATAGGCAATTCCTTAAAGGCAAGGACTGTGTCTTTTCTTGCCCTCAGAAGTACCTACTGTATGTTAGATACCTAATACTTCTTTGAAAATAAACAGTAAGTTGTCCCAACCTTAAATTTAGGGTGGGAGGGCAGGTTGGTTCTAGACTATCTCACATTGGAAACAATGGGGTCAGGTGCAGTGGCTCATGCCTGTAATCCCAGCACTTTGGGAGGGCAAGACAGGCAGATTGCTTGAGGCCAGGAGTTCAAGACCAGCCTGGGCAACATGGTGAAACCCCATCTCTACAAAGAATATAAAATACAAAAATTATAGAATACAAAAATTTGCCAGGCATGGTGGCACATGCCTGTGGTTCTAGCTACTAGGGAGGCTGAAGTGGGAGGATCACTTGAGTCTTAAAAAAAAAAAGTGATAGTATCTCCCTTCTGAGATTAGGTTATAATAGACCATGGCTGTCCTGGTGGTCTCTCTTGGGTCCCTCACTCTGGGGGAAGAAGTCCTGTGTAAGTGGCCCCATGGAGAGGCCTAAGCAAGGAACTGAAGCCTCCTGCCCACAGCAACGAGAGGAAGCTTAGAGGTCACCTCAGGTCCCAGCCAAGTCTTCAGAGCCGGCCACTCTGGCCAGCGGCTTGAGTACAACTGCACATAAGCCTCGAGCCGGAACCACCGGGCTAGGATGCTCCCAATTTGTGAGGTCATATGTTTGAGGCAGCTAAGTTTTGAGTTCATTTGTAATGGAGCAATAATTAACACAGATGTGTGTATCTGTTAGCAAGGTGCTGCCTTAACAAAATCCTCCTGTGCAGGAGTGGCTTTGGAATCCGGCAGTACGCTTTGAGGAGAGCGCTGGTGAAAGCCCACAGTGCCTTCAAATTTCGGATAAAAGCATCACAGTTAGAGTCAGGCATGGTGGTGCACACCTGTAGTCCCAGCTACTTAGGAGGCTAAGGCAGGAGGATTTCTTGGGCCCAGGAATTTGAGGACCAGTCTGGGCAACATAGCAAGAACCCCACCTCTAAAAAAGTTTTTGGCCAGGCGTGGTGGCTCATGCCTGTAATCCTAACACTTTGGGAGGCCAAGGCAGACAGATCACCTGAGGCCCCAGGAGTTCAAGAGTAGTCTGGCCAACATGGTGAAACCTCCTCTCTACTAAAAATACAAAAATTAGCCAGGCGTGGTGGCGAGGACCTACAGTCCCAGCTACTTGGGAGGCTGAGGCACAAGGATCACTTGAACTTGGAATTATTCCTGGAAGCTGGAGAAAGGGAATTCCTGGTTAGAGGCAGAAAGTTCAGCAACGCTATCACCCACAGTAATGTGGAAAATGGAAAATACAGCTAATGAATGAGTGATCTAGCTAAGTCTGTTTCCAACTAGACTGAAAATGTCATTGGTTACTTCTTGCTGCTTATAATAAAATAAGAGGAATGAAATAAGCTAAAGGAAGAACTGTTGAAAAGAAACCAGGGCTCACTGGTTTGGAAGATTCGCAGCTTCTTCAGGTGGCAAATCATTACTCTAACATTTAGAAGAGGCTTCAGTGCAAAGATTAAATTCAGAACACTCATGAAAATATGGTGTAAAGATTAAAGTGAGGGTATAACTATAAAATCCTTTGTTAAAATCTGAGAGAAGTCAAAGGTGGGCCAGGCAGAGTGGCTCACACCTGTAATCCTGACACTTTGTGAGGCTGAGGTGGGAGGATCGCTTGAACGCAGGAGTTCAAGACCAGCATGGGCAAGATAAAAACCTATTTCTGCAAAAAATAATTGGCCTGGCACAATGGCATGTCCCTGTAGTCCCAGCTGCTTGGGAAGCTAAGGTGGGACGGGCTCGGCGACTGAGGACGCAGTGAGCCAAGATCATGTCACTGCACTCCAGCCTGGTCAACAGAACAAGACTTCATCTCTAAAAGCAAAAAGAAAAATCAAAGATCATGCCTCAATATGGTTCACAGAAAAGACAATGTTTAAAAAAATAATTACATCAGCAGTAACCTGGTCAACTTGAACTGAAAGAGACAAAGTAAACCCCCTCACCAAAAAAACACAAAACAGGCCTTCAGATTGCAAGGTTCTACAGGCGGGAAGCAAGTGAGAAAAATGCTCTGCTGTAAATCCATGCTACCTTTCATGCAAAAGTGTGACTTCTAAGAGGAAATCAAGGCCTCCCAGGGTAGTCAAGAGTCTGGAAAGTCATTTCCTGGCACGAGTAGCCCTGGGTCCCAGTGCTCACGCAGCTGGATTTCACAACTGCTTATGGACCAGCAGTGTGTGTACCTTTCATTTGCGGCCTTTCTGAGCAGGAGCATCTGGGAATCACGTAACTGTCCCGCCACTGCATGCTGGGGGTTGGGAGGGTGATAACTCGTCTCTAGTTCTCAGCCCTGCAGATCAGGAGGAACTGTGTCTTAGAGCTGTACCTAGAACCACACCCTAGGGTTGCCATCTGCCCCTGGACCTAACGTAGATAAGATGAACTCTAGGCTGATGCTGTGAGCTGACGGGACTGTTTTGTTCTTTGGGAGCTGGTGAATATATTTACAGGTGGGAGGACTGTGGATTTATGGGGGCTAGGGAACAGAGTGGGAGCCAGCCTCCAAGAGAGACCCCAATGATTTATCTCTTTTGGTAGTCACACCTTGTGCTGTCCCTTCCCACAATGTGCCAAGGCTGATCTTCAGACCAATAGAAATAACCAGAAGTCATGGCATGTCTCTTCCTAGGTCTGATGATCAAGGACTGCACTTCTTTTGGTTTTCTATCCCTGTCATCTCTCCGTCTCATCACTCGCTCTGGCTGAAACCATATTAGCACACTGGGGAAGACCATGTGCCAAGGAACTAGAGCGTCATGCCAGTAGCTCCACCAGTGAGGTGGGAGTGAATCCTGCAGCCCCAGTTGTATCTTTAGAGACTGCAACCTCATGACAGACCTTGAGTCAGAACCATTCAACTGAGCTGCTCCTCGAACCCAGACCCACATAAACTACAAGAGATAATGAATTCTGTTTTGCAATTGCCCAAAGGCTTTCTCCCACCCTCTGCACAGATAAATATCAATTCACTGAGGCTATGGCATTGCAGCAAAGAAAGTGTGATTGATGTGAGGCCGACCTCGCAGAAGAGGGAGTTAGTATTCAAAGCGGTCCTCCCCCCAACCCCCCCACCAAGGCTCAGAGGTTTGGGTTTTTCAAGGATAGTTTGGTGGGCAGGGGGGCCTAGGAAACAGGGAATGCTGATTGGTTGGGGATGGAATCATAGGATGTGGAAAATGGTCCTGGAGGCTAGGTCCTTATGTGGGCAGGGCCTCGGGACCTGTTGAGTCGCAAATTGCAAGCAGGTGGGGTCAGTCAGTTGCCCTAATGCAAAAGTCTGCAAAAACATCTCAAAAGACCAATCTTAGGTGCTACAATAGTGATTTTCTTTACAGGGGCAACTGTGGAGGCTGCAAATCTTGTGACCTCAGAACAATGGCTGGTTATCGTTTAATAACTCTGTCTTAGCAGAATTCAGGCCCCTCTCATCATCCTAACCTTGTGGCCTTTACTGGCTTTATGAAGGCAGTTTAATCTTGGGAAGGGTTGGCATCATCCTTGCTGGAATAAACTAAATTTTTCCCAAGATTAACTTGCCCTACACCCAGGAATGACCAAGGACAGCTTGGAGGTTATATGCAAGATGGAATCAACTATGTCAGATTTCTCTTACGTCATAATTTTGCAATGGCAGTTTGTCTCTAAGTAGTTATATTTTGGGAAAATGTGTTTTGTGGCAATGGATAACTGTTATAGGAAACATTTAGGGCATTTTCCCCAACAATACGAAACGGTCCTTAGGAATGACATTTACTTTTCTGGGTAGATGGTTTGGTTTCTCTAGCTGTTGATATCTTTTCATCTTTCTCTTTTTGTTTTGAGACAGTCTGACTCTGTCACCTTGGCTGAAGTGCAGTGGTGCGGTCACGGCTCAGCACAGCCTTGACTTCCTGGGCTCAAATGATTCTCCTGCCTTTGTCTCCTGAGTAGCTGAGACTACAAGCACATGCCAACATGTCCAGCTAAGTCTTTACATTTTCTGTGGAGACAGGTTTCGCCATCTCGCCCAGGCTGGTATCCAACCACCCGTCTTGACCTCCCAAAGTGCTGGGATTACAAAGTG